AGTAGATATTCTAGCTAGGACTCATATAAGTAAGGCAACAACAAGCAATTCTAGAATAACGACATTCCAATTATTCAAAGTCTTCTAAACAGTCACTACTGTGAGGTTTTCAAACAATTTCAGAAGTAGAGAAATCTATCATTCTTGGAAACGTTTTAAAGGTACTGTTGTATGGTTTCAGGCACTTGTAAAAACTACCAAATTCCCAACAGCAGTCTCAACTTTGGCCCTAGAGTTAATTCATTAATTTAGCAGGGTTAATAAGCTGCTGAGTAACATAATTTTCACCAATGAAAATGGCTACATAATCCATACTGAATTACTATCCTTATTTAAAAGATTATGTCCTAAAGCATTTATAAGCTTATGCAGGCATATGAACAACAAATATTTTAAATTCTTAGGCCCTATAGAAAATAAATTATCAAGCACATAATTCTAACATTTATGTAACAAAGGTTTCATTGCACTATTCTATCAGTCAGCATTAGCAACAGGTGTTCTCTTGAGCTTCAGAAAGAGCTACTTTGTAAAAAAGCAACAAATTCTGACATGCACAGTTCTAAGTAAACAGCTAAGTAACTAGTAAGTTAAGCAACAGTTTTCATTTTGACTTCATGTCATCTTCCATCTCATTAGGAAAATTAAGTATACATTTTAATAAAATGAAGTATTTTCAATGTAACACGCCTAAGAAATTTTTTCATAACTAATGTGCTTGTATCCTAAATGTAACTCATAAACTGCATGTTGTAATGTTAATACTAAAAGCAAATAAACAAAAACACACTCCATTAAATATGAACCATCTACCACAAATCAGTGATTCTTACCATTAAAATAATCTCACACTCCTTTGCAAATCAGATGAAAGCTATGCATATATTGGGTTGTCAGAAAAGTTATGATGTGTTTTTTCTATGTTTTTCATCGCAAAAATGTGTCATGACGTTTCCGACAACCCAATAATTTCGGAGAATGCATGGATGCCTTGAAGCCTATTTATGGGTCCTTGAGGTTTAAAGAATCTCTGATTAGCAGAAAAGAATAGAGTCCAAAATCGATCCAAGAACATACAAAAACTTTATATGAATAAAAGAAGAGCTGTAACACACAATGAAAAAAAAGGATTCTTTATTAACATAATCTTTACCTAAGTGGCTATTTACAGAGAAATTACAATAAATCTCTAGAAACATGAATGCTTTAAAGAGCTAAATGTAAAAAAACAAAAATTATAAAATACTATAACAAAATATAGACAATGTACATAATCTCGGTTGAAGGAAGTCTTCTTAAGCAACATAAGAAACGTACTTGCCTAAACTGATAGATTTGACTATAAATTTTATAACTTCTGTATAAGCAGAATACACCATTAAGTCAAAGGGCAAATGACAGACTTGGAGAAAATCAGATGTAAAACATATGACAGATACACGATTACTAATTCTAATATTAAAAAAAATAAAAATTGGTAAAGATAAACCACCCAATCGACAAATGAAACTGAACTAACAAGTAAATGATGTTCAACCTAATTAGAAGTTAAGGAAATGTAAATTAATGCAACAATATATCATTTCACAGCTTCAGACTGGCAAAAATTAAAAGCTTATAGCATTCAGTGTTTGTGAGCTGGCAGTGTAGATTACAGTAACCTTTTGGAAAATAACAGATTTTTAAATCTATTAAACTATGAAATACATATATCCTTTGTCCCAGCAATCCCACAGATAGAATTTATCCTAGTGAAAACAATACCAACACATAGGAGTTAAATAGGCATATAAGGATGTTTCTTGTAACATTTTTTATAATAGCAAGAAAGGAAAGAAAAAGAAGTAAAAAAGGTGAGGGTGGAGGGTGGACTGAATGTCCACTATTGACATAAATAGCTTAATAATTTATGATACACACATACTATGCAGTATTACACTGCTATTAGAATAAGTCAAATGTGTATGTATTGACTTGGTAAGATGTCTATAGTATTATATGAAAAAGAAAGGACGATTCAGAGTAATATGTATACCACGATCCCATATTCATTAAAAAAAAACAAAACCAAAAAAAAACTGTATCATTCCTGTCTATATACTTGATTTCCCAAGTGTTGAACTCATCTATTGCTCTATTAGAGATCTCACCATCAAAACACTCTCAAATCAAGGTGTGTAAGGCATTATCAAACAATACAATTCTTTGGAATCTTCTACAACAAAGAAGACAAACAAAAACTACTTTTAAGAGCAAAAATGTTTAATAGTTTTTCTAATGCCAAAATAAAGCATGCTTTTTAATATTGTGATTTTATACTTATAGAAAACAACCATGGATTTTTTTATTTTTCCTGTAGCAGAAATAAGCTATCCATTTCAGTTGCTTCATTGGGTAATATAATTATGTTCATTATACAGATATAAACAAGGGCCAGACATTACACTAAACCAATTCCTTTGTGTCAGAAATTGGATTTTCTCAAAATGATATTCATTCTTAGCAATAAATGCTGTTAAACATTGGTATTACAGTTTAAAAATTCTATTCAAACTGCCAAATCTTAGTGTAATGTTAATATAAAGTCTCAAGCAGCTAATATAAAGTCTCAAGCAGCCTGGTATACTTAAATGAACCCTTGATTTGAAATCAGACATCCCTGGGTTCCAACACTGGTTCTGATACTTACTAGCTATGTGGTCAAGTTATAGAATCTTTGAGTCTGTTCCTGCATCTGTAAAAATGGCTTTCTATGGTATTCTTAGAAGATCAAATAAGAATTATCACATAGGAAAGTGCCTAATACAGAGTCTGGTTGTCAAACTTCCTTCTTCTGCCTTCCTTTCCTAAGGAATATTACTAACTGGAAACATTTATTTTAGTACTGTCTTTTATAAGGCTTTTTTTTTAAATCAAAATATTGCTGATAAAAAGTTATAATTTGATATGTTTTTGCATCTCCAGAGAATTATTAGTTCCTTCAAGTGCTTTGTATTTGAGGCTCCTTTTCTTGGCTCATTTTTGAGAATTATTTAGTTTGATCCATATTTATTATTTCTGATGCAATTTAAAGGTATATTTCTTGTAAAAAATTAAAAATTAAAAAAAAAACATTGTTTTCTACCTGTGGCTTTCTAGATCTTCAGATAACTCTCTTTTTAAAATAATTCAGGTTGTGCCTGTGGAAACCACTTTCAAGTATTATGAAGAAAAATGTTAGGCAAGGAAAGAAAATAAAAAACTGAGGTACCCTAACCCACTGTAATGTGTCTAAGAAATCCATATAGTAATACAACAAAGAATAAGTACAAATTTTAATTTTAATATAACTTTCAAATTTCTGTAGGAGTCGTCTTCTTTTTCTGTAAAGATGGGTCATTAATGAGACTAGAATATGACCCTGAATGCTGCTAAATGGATCCAAACAAAAAGAAAAAGCATATTGGCCAACCTTCAACATTTAGAGTGAATATTTTTTCCATCATATAAGACATATATTAATAAAATCATAGTAAATAAATTTGATATCTCTTCAAAACTGTACAGGGTAAGTTTTACCCTAGAGTTGAGGACTAGAATTTATCCTTAGCTCCTCTTGGACTTTAGTTGCACTTCAGTTAGATCTGATGCTCTTTGATGCACAGCTTTGTAAAATGTCTCCAAGGCTTTTGTCTACCAAAACCACAAATAGTCAGCTACCACTGGTAATATTACAATTGTTTTCTGATACATTTTTCCTAAATACTAATCATCACCTACAGCAGCATCTAGCTGTTCATAGTCTAAATTATACTGCTGCTGGTATTTTATTGCTTGCATCGCAAAAAGTATTTAAAATGATGCTGAGGTGAAAGTGTATGGATAAAAATACTTCGCATTAATTTTCCATACTCAAATTACAGCCTCTTGAGCTGATTTTTAAGTGTCATTTTCCTTTTTAAATCAAAATGCTTCGCTGACATTCTTTTAACACTAACTCCCCATCCCAAGCTCCTCCCAAAAGCCAAAGTTCTCTACTAAATTGCAAGTACCTATTAAATCTGTGCATTTTTCTGGTCTTTCATAACTCCACACTCCAACTTTTGTACTTCAGACCTCTTCTCCCATTAAAGTAAGCACTGTTAACTCCTTAAGGTACTTAGCCATATGGTTACCTTTTTGCATACTCTTACTTTTCCTTTCATAAACTTTAATCTCAATAATTCCCCTTCAGTGTTCCCACCTCTTCCAAATTCACATCAACGTTGCCGCGAAGCAGTGCACATATATCGTATATCCTTATCTGAACCCGAAATGTTAATAAGTTTAGCTCCACTAAAAAACAATTTAAACGCCTGGATGCCTCGTTTCAGTACCTCGCTGAAGCGCTGTTATTTGCTTTCCGGTCCTACCTGGGCAGCCTATTTTCTTCTGTCAGTTGTGTGGTCCCTTGCTGCCCCCAGCACAAGAGTGCAACTCACTACAGCGTATTTCTTTCACTCACCATCATTCTAGCAACTCCCTCCATTTCTGCGTATCTATCCCTTAGTGAACCTCCCCGTTCCCAAAAGATTCCGTCTCCAGGTGCCCACTTCTCAAATTGGGAATACCCGTCGTCTCACACTGCCGGGCTTTTTGGATGACTTCTAAGAGAACACACGGGCTGGGCGTTTCTGTCTCCTCCAGCAGTGCCCGCTCCCCACCGAGTTCGGTCTTCTCTCGCTCTCTCCTCTCCCTGTGGAATGCCTACTTTGGGGGTAACCCTTTCGCCCCGAGCCCAACCTTGCAGCCTCTGCCCCGCGACCTCGCGAGCCCAGCACGTCACTCAAGCTTAATTCACCGTGCTTGCAGCTTGTGCTCTCGATGTCCCCCAACCCCAGCTCTCGTTGCAACCTCTTTCAGCCTCCTGCCCCGAGCAAGACCTCAGGTTAGGCGAACGCCCACTTGCTCCGGTTGCAACACCTCCCTGGCCCGGCCCCTTCCACACCGCTCACTCAGCCCGGAGTGGCTCTGCTCCTCACCTAGCTTCGATCGGGACTCCTCCAGTTTCTGGATTTGGTTCTCCAAGAAGAGCATCGCCACCGCGAAGGCCACCACCGCCAGCAGCTGCAACTTGGGCGGCATCATAATCCTGAGGAGCCCCATGAAACCCGCTGCTCGGGATCAAGACATACCGCGGGGGGCGGGGAGCGGGGCCCCAAGAGGCGAGGGAGACGCCGGCAGGAGCCCACCGAGCGGGTAGAAAGGCAAGGAGAGCGCGACAGCGAGGGAACCACCGCAGCGACCCCCCTTCTTGCCTCCCCAGTCCCCCGCCCCCAGGCACCAGCACCAACGCCGCTGGTGCCCGCTTCTCCTCGGCCGACTCAGCGGCCGCCCCCTCCAAAAGCCCGCGCAGCAAACACTGCGCGAAGCGGCTGCCGGGCTCTCGCCTCCCTCTGCTGCCTCAGTCACCGACCCCCGCGCCTGCCTGCCTGCCTCGCTCTCTTCCTTCCTTCCCTCCCTCCTTTGCTCGCGGCCGCGCGCTCCTCCACCAGCGATGCGGCTGCGGCTGCGCCGCCCCCG